CCGGTTGAGCGCTTGTTGGCTGTTGACTGTTGCAGCCACAAGAGCCCACCCCTAAGACTTGCGACTGGCTATGAGAAAATCATACCTGTTTGATATTTTCGTAGCGAGTTGGGGAACGTTGTAGGGGCTATTAAAAGCACTAAAACTGTGTTGGTGGGGATGTCTCACTACACAACTGATGGTAACTGGTGCATGCTGCGACTCTCTGAAACTCTGTGATTTTCTTACAATTATGTTAAAGAAGCCCACAATTGAAAATACTAGGAAACGTAGTGTAGTGTGACGCCGGCTTAAAGAGGTGGAAAAAGCTGCAGCTAGGAACAGTTAAGTCAATAATTAACTCAATTCTAAGTCTCTGAGTACTGAGGTAAAATAAAAACGAGAACCAGGAGTGAAAACCACTTCACCACTTCAGTGATCATCAAGGATCACTTACCATCTCTTAACCAGATAGACAGCTTTCCCTGCTACCAGTGGGTACTATGTAATGTACTATTTTTAACCTAAGGGATTACCATTCTGGATTGGTATTTTTTAGTGCACAAGCATTTTAGCTTTATCATCATTATATTACATAACATATTTGAACAATTATTTGCAAGTAGATAATGCTTCAGCACCCATCACCAATTGATCTAAAGGGGAAATTTACATAGACAGCACAGTAGTGTAGTGTGTGGTAGTGAGCTCTGCCTCCTCACTGCTCCTGGGGCCCAGATTTGATTTTGGACTGGAATGCCTTAAATGATGTTCTCACTGTAGGTTCTCTCCGTTTCCATGTGGGGTTCCTCCAGGTCCTACTGTTTCCTTCCGCCTTCCAATACATGTTTTCAAAGATTTAAAGACGCGTTTAAGCATCAATTAATAGCTGCATCATCCCTGTGTGTTTCCGGGAACCCCCTGCAGAGGAGTACAGCCCATCCAGAGTGTAATTTCCCATTATAAATTATATATTATATAAAGTGTGGATTTAGGATGGCCTGACTGTGTGAGCAAGACATGGAATTTAGCTTGAGATCAAACCTTTAAACTTCTGAACAGTATCATGGGAACTTTAACGACTAAGCAGTGCGACCTCAGTTTAACATCTCATCAAAAGGACTTCACATCCCATTGCACACTGTCTCCAGTCACCACAAAAGGGTGTTCATGGGCAAATTCTTGACAAAGGGAAGTGTGCCACCTACTGGTCGTCCAAACCTATATTGCCTTAGAGGTCTCCTATCCCAGTATAAATTAGGCCTGACCCCACTTATCTTCTATATTTTGATTAGATCAAGCTATAAGTGCAATTCTCTTATTCATTTACCATATGAAATGTTATTTTAAGTACTGTCTAGAGTTACATTGGATATCTTAATTTTAGATGGATAATTTTTAACTAATGAGTCCCTTGATGTACTAACCTTCTACGAAAGCCTTAACTATCAGCATACAACCACAGTAACAAGGACTGAACATGAATGCACACAAAACTAAACATTACATTTTTTCATCTGATCAGCTATTCATTGACAGCTACAGTACCACATTAGTTCTCCCTCTGTGATTTGATTTGGAACACTGTTGACTTCCATAGCTTCAGGCCACTACCTGGTAGCTATTGATAAACTTTAGAAATTAGCCACCAGTAGTCTAGGGCCCTTTCCAATCACAGAATTATGCTCATGGCATGCCATCAGCTCAGGAACCACTACTATGTCCTTAGGTAGAGAAAACCTTGATAGGGTCATTTAGTTATAGGGTCAGGACAGGGCTTAAGATATTGCCGTGAAATGTTCTTTCAACAATCCTTGGTTTTGCTTATTAAATACAAGTACACTACATGTTGTATGTATCCATCCACCCATTTTCTAACCATTTCATCCAATACAGGGTGACAGGGAACCCAGCAAGCAATGGGCACAAGGTGGGATACACCCTGAATGGAAGTCAGTCCATCACAGATATTTTATATGTCCACATTGAATAAAACATAAGCAATGGCTACTGGATTTTACCTTATAGAGAATTTGTTTGTTTTTTTTGTTTGTTGTGCTTTTGTCTTGGAAGCAGTGTTAAATAGTAATATTTTTATGAAGACTGCCATTTTAAACTCAGCAAAAATGGAAGTGGAGTGGAGGAAAGATTCATCCATTCATTATACATTATCAGCCACTTATCCTGGTGAGGATTACATACTGTAACTGTTTTCCCTCTGGACTAGCCTAATGCAGAACAGGAAACAAATGATCTAAAATACTATATTTTTTTCATTCTGACTACTAATTAAAATAATCCATCTTTCAGCTTGATCCAACTGCTGGACTTTAAAAACAATAACTGAATCATATAAATGATTAGTAAATAAGCAGTGCTGCTTTGGCTTTTTAAGTGTTAACTTCATGAAATGAAAGGGAAAGGTGTTATCTCAGTTATTGACAGAGTCCTGTTGATACTGTTTGTAACACTTAAAACTACACTGATCCAAGGGGAGATAGTAATGGCATAGGGAGGTCAAGTAAGGCCACTGGCATAATTAAACTGATAAAGGCACAAAGGGTTTACTTTTGGACAAGCACATTACCAGCCATTGCTAGAGCAATACTGGTGTTTCTATCAGCATGAAGGGGGGGGCAGTGGTTTAGCCTACTTATCTAAAGTCTCTAATTACTTGGTTTATTTGATAAACAGAACAAGAAGAATCCTCAAATGCTTCAGTATGATCCAAAGGGGATTAATTTCTCACTCCTCAAAAAACAAATCACTGGTGGAATCCCTTATTTTATTCTTTAATCGCGCATTAATTAGGAGCAATAAGGGCGCAAGATACACTTGGCATTTGAGAAATTAAGAGTGAAAAAAATCCTGCCTTCACCTCTCCAGAGAAAAAGCACATCGTTCTAAGACAAAGACGACGTGATTACACAAGAAAGCAAGCAACGAGCTGAAAGGAAAGTGGAGGAAGGAGTGGTTGGAGGAAATACAAAAGATCACCTCCTTTTCCCAACAAAGCGCCACAACACAAGCTCCACCAAGCCATTTAGATATTTAAACAAAGCATTAGTTTTAATGCCTTAAATATGGTTCTGAGGCAATGGATGTGTAAACATAAACATGCATATGAGCACGAGCACGTGCACATGCACATGCGAAACACAGCTGAGCTACTGGAGATTTGAATTTACCAAGCCTCTACAGAACTTCAAACCCTTAGAGGAGAACAGGGGAGGGAGATGGCGGGCGTGAAACCAATACATTGGCTGAATCATAAGTAGAACATTTGAAAAGGATCAGGTTTGTTTGTTTGCTAGTTCAGATAGCTGTGTGGAAGCTACCAGAAAAGACAAGGCAAACAAGCCTTAAAGATCTCCTGGTGCTTTTGTTTGTTTCTTTGTTTGAATATTTAGTGGAGGACACTGAAAGAGAATATAGAAAAGCATTTTGAGAATATTTGAAAGTGCTGGGTAGCCTGATGTAGCACAGACCAAATATTTTACAACTACAGAGAGTTCAAAACCTAGAGTCAGGCTACATTGAATAATCAAACCACACAGTGAACTCTAGTACACGTTTAAAAAGTTAAAATATTTTTTTTTTTTTAATGTTACATTGCATCATACCAAAGACAGACATGAAATCTAGCTGCTAGCTTTAACAGATATAGCAAAGCTCTTCAGTCAGTCATGCCCCACAGGAAACAATCAATCCAGAAACCGAGTTTCTAAAAAGGAAAAAAAATAAGTGTTCTGGGCAGGCCATCATCCCCTCATCTGAAACATCTGAATTATTAAGGGTTAATTACAGAAAGAATATGGAAGAAATTAAGAGTGGCTTGCAAAACAAATCACAGGTCAGATACTGAGGGTTTATGAAAACAAGAAATAGAAAATATACATCTCCTACAGCAGTGGTTCTCAAAGTGTGGTCTGCAGGCTGACCTAATCTTTCTTAAAGCAAATCTACGCTATTTAATCAGAGGAAATAATATTGCAGCGTCCGCTACAAAAGGGGCTCCCCCTAGGAGCACTGTTAAGAGCTGCATGATGTAAATAGTGGGAGGGGGGCACTTGTGTGTTGGTTCTAGGTATCGGGGTTTCACCAGCCGTTAAGGGAACTGTGTGTGTCAGTCATGGGGCGAGCACCAGCCTAGTTGTAGGCTTGGCTGACTTGAAGGTCTGCTGAAAGGGCAAAGTTTCCAATCATTCTCCTTGGCTGTACCCTTCTGTTGCTTTTGTGTTTTAATGAAGCTTAAGTTTTGGCAGACGACTCTTCATTCTCCCCATCAGCGCCTATCGCTTACGTGTTTTAGTTTTATGCACCATAATTTCATGTGTCACACATTGCAAACGAGCCAGTTTGGCGACGACGTCCTTGCTGCCGTGCAGCGGTCTGTTGTCGTTAGTGATGCACGAAAACCCCGCACCCGCCCGACCCGATTTAAAATAATAGTGAATAGTGAAGTACTGACCCGAAGCCTGTCCGAACCCGCTCCATATTTAAAACAATATTCAAACATACATTTGATCAACATTTATTGAAACAGCATATCCAGATTCTTTGTTTTAAACAGATCAAATCAAAATTATTTTTATCTCACTGTTCTGGAGTTGTGTCCCGATCTCTAAAGAGGTTGCCATGATCTTTTCTTTGTAATGCACAAGTAGCTCCATTCTTCACATTAACCTTTAATTAATAAAAACATTCGCAAAATATGCAGCTTTGTTTGTAAAAATATTGGTACTTTTAATACAATTTAATTCAATATTATTTTAGTACATTAATAGGGGATGATTTTTACAGGGTGAGAAGTAGATGTGGGCATGGATGGTCCACCGCATCTGTGACTTGGTGTAAGTGGTCTTACATAGAACTTTGAGAACCACTGTTCTACATCATAAAAATCAACACAAGGACAACACACACAACTACAATACACGACAACTTGTGGACATTTTTCCTCATATTTATATATAAGGAAAAATGAATCAAATGTGTCATTATATTTGTCCTATATTTCATCTCCATTTAATATAAGATCATTAGAATGTGAATTTCACTTATTGCATGTTCATTTACTACAGTAATGCAAGAAGGCAAATATTCTGTGACGGTATTATCTGTGTGTAATCATTTCATAACACGTCTGAACGGTAGTGTTACATCTTTGCTGAAGTAGAGCACTAAACCAAAACTTACTGGTTGAGAAATAAATGCATATTATATATAAGGGTTTTGTTCCTATTAAAGAAAAGATTCTTAAGTTATAGTCATTATGCTCCCTCCCCATTTCTCTTTTGATCTGCTTATTAAAGAGGTAGCTTCACAGGCAATCATGGGCTTGTTTGTTTAAGGTAATTACTACTTGTCCTCCTTTCCTGCTGGCTCAGATGATGCATAAAATAACCATTCCTTTACTTCAATCAAAGCAAGAAGAAAAGGGAATGGAGAGAAAAAACTCCAGGAGACAAACAGAGCTCCCTCTTTGCATGAGAAGAAAGGGTTTGGCTCTGATTAATTAGTTGGAGTTGGTAATCAGTTTAATAAGTCTGAAGTTGATGGTGAGAGGTCCCCTTTGGCAGGGCTTGCTAAGCTGATGGGGGTGGTGTCCAGGGTCCTTTATTCTTCTGTCAGCAAACACAGCCTTTATTTACATAAACAGTTGTTTCCTTTTTTTGTGCCTATTTACTGGGACTGCCTTAAAGCCTCACACCACTGCTTAAGTCACTTTTAACAAGGGAAGGGAAATTCATGAATTTTTCAAGGGATTTAGCACTAATTAAATCTGCACTTTCCAAAAGAAATATAGGACGAAGGCACTGGTACTCACTCCTGGCTGACAAAGGAAACTAATGCAGTTAGCAATATGACATCAGCTAAGTAGAATTCAAACCCAAAGCAGACAGAGGAGTAGGAGGGTAAGACCTAAAGCTGGGCATAAAAGCCATATTGTGATTTTAATTTCAGGACAAGTTAGTCAACTTCAAGGTTGCCCTAAGGACCCATCAACTTCCAAAGGAAAATTATACACCACTTTTTCCCCCCAAATAACATATGGCAGATTTTCAATTAATGAAATGCTGAATACACAGCAAAGCTAGTTAAGTGTGTTCACACGCACTGGGAAAGACAAAAATAAATATTTTCAAACACTCTGCAGTTCAAGACATCTTGGGTTTTACTGCAAGTAAAACTTCTTTCATGTTCCAGTTTGTGCCAGACAGTAAATAGTTGAAGAACATTAGTCTGATTTCAATTTTATTTTGCTTACTTTAGGTATCTGTCCATTAAAATAATCCTTGTAACATTCAGTATTTCCTTTTTCCAGTTTCATCCTTGATTGGATGACTGGATGTGGATGCTACACATTGGTGGTGGTGGTGGAGGAGGGGAGTCCCTATTACCTGTAAAGCACTTTGAGTGGAGTGACCAGAGAAGCACTATATAAGTGTAAGCAATTATGTCTGCTCAAAACACCTAAATCAAATGCATATGTGGCAGATATTTATAGTAAGGATGCCAAGGAACACTGTTTGGCAGAGTTGCTGATTTAGAATAATTCCTTTAGACATTTCTTTTGGAAGAATCAGTTAGAATAATAATACCGTAGGTGAGACATGCCTTTCAGTTTTGTAAGCAATGGATAAGATATGTAATTCACACATAAGTATACTTTGGAGAGATTTTATCAAATGATTAGTAATTTATCAATTACATTCCAATAACCCTCATTAACATGATGATATAAAGTGTTCCTCCTCTTTTTCATTCATGTGAAGAAGAGACTAAGATTTTAAGAAATTGAACATCACCACCAAAACCTACACCAATAGGATGAATTCTTGAAAAATTAATGACACTCTGCACAAGATTCTCTAACTTGTCCCCAGTGAAGCAGAACTATCTGCCTCTCATACACTGCTGGATGCTCAATCCTGACTTGAAAGAGTGAACGTTCTAGGGTGTGATTTAACAAAGAAAACAATAAGGGCACATTATTAAGACAGCAAATATATTCAGCTATACAGATATTATTTTTGCTTATTAACCACACACAACAAAGGTTGTACTGAAATGAATACGCGTCTCCGTCCGCGATAGTTTTACAAAAGCAAATCATGCCATTTTAAATTCAAGAGTGGTATATTGCCTTCTAAGATAAGACTGGCATATAATATATAGTTACATACAAATACATTCACAATGTGTAACATTTTATTGATAACACTCAATTGATAAAATTTAAAATAATGAATTTAAAAAAATACCCTGAAGCAGGGGAATGCTGCTCAGTTTTTCCTGAGTTTTATTACCCTGCTAAAAGGACTAAATTAACGCTATGACTGCATTTAAGAAAGATATTCCCTAAAGTCAGTACATGTTTTATTTGGGTTTTTTATGTATGCATTCATCATTTCATTGTACATGTCGGTGTTCTACACATCAAATACAGGATAAAATTCTAAAACCTCCCAGTAGTGAATTATCTCGTCCTTTGAAGATTGTTCATCTTTCTGCTCACTTTATAGTCTCTCCCTGCACTGCAGCTTAAAGCTGTAAACCTTGAAATCTAAGAAGCTCTTTTTTTAAACCACAGTTTCTCAATAGTGAAGGTAGAGTTGCTAATTATTGAACTGCTCACTATTTCCATTTAAAAAATGATTAAAATTATTTGAAAATGTGATTAAATCAGAGGAGATAAGTATTAAGCTGTGCTTTATCAGAGACGTTCTCCCCATCCCCGGCACCAGCAGGACTTACAGAGAGGCCTTTGGAGAAGTAGGAGGGTGGTAAATGCTGTAATCCTTCTAAAAACCCTTTGTTATTGCAATAATTGACAAATTATGCAACATAAAGCCCCCCCTCACCCCAAAAAAGGCAGTGGGCATCAAGCCATCGATTGTCCTTTGTGTTCCCGCATGTAATTGCAAAAATCAGTAGCTACAACCACAGCATTTTGTTTAGCAAAAGATTCATGTCAGCAGAAAAAACTAATTTTTAACAGTAGCTACAGCAGGCAACTTTTTACTGAAATTCATTGATGGGTGTACTGCATATTACAATATTACAGGCATGATGTACAATATTACAGTTCATGGACCAGGTTTACTTATACTTTATCGTTTAAGGTAACTTGACATCACATCTAAAATATCATTTTCTGACCGTTCCCTCCATTTATTAGACGTATTCAGTGCATTAGATCCACTAGAATCTAAAATAATGTAACAGGAACCTGTACACCAACAAGGCCACCTCTTCTGGAGGTAGCAGCAGGATGTGCAACACAAAGATGTGACGACTCAGGTTTGGAGGCTCAACTAGGACTCAAATCGCCTATCTCTAATAGGTTAAACAGGTGACCTGTAGATTTCAAGGGTGGAAACTGGGCAACCGATAATAAATTGAACAGGATTAATGATAAATGCACAATGTGTGAAAGTGGAGCTAAATAACACTCCCAGGCTTTGAAAGAATGGAAAGTAGGTCAATGACAGAAGGCAGAAAGAGTGCTGGTGTCATTTAGTTACACAGAGATAACATTTCCCATTTCTTTTTTACAGGAGCCAAACTATTCCCAGGCCTCTAGGTGAGCAGCAACATTCTCAATTCAGTGCAAGGGAGCAATAACATGTATGCAAACTTTATTAATAGAAAAGGATTAAGATTTTTTTTTAGAAAGTTCAGTCAATTGAACTGCACACTTTCAAAATAAACTTGTAGGCCTTAGTTCCAGATAAGGGACTTCCATGTAACCCCTGTAGTTAATGATAGGCAGCAGTTACAACACAAAGCCATTGAAGTAGCTGATAGTGCAAGGAAATAATTTAAGCAGTGTTAAGTGGCCTATTGTCATTTAAATTATAAGTTATGCTTGGCAGAGGTTTTAGAAAGGCTTTTACAAAGCATTGCTATTGTTTGTGTGGGGACAAGATTTTAGGGAGCACAAACTGAGAGGACTATCTTGGAAAGCTTGACAGACTTAGACTTAGGATTTAGAAACAAATTGGATCCACACTTGTCTTCATGTTCTGAAAGTCAGACAAGTCTGGAAGATATAAATAATTAGATTAAGCTGAGTGTAAGGCCATCATAAAATTGACTGGTGAAGCAAAAAGACACCAGAGAGACAAAGAAATAAGAACACATGAAAGATTACAATTACAGATGGACCTTTTGGCTCATTTAATTAAATTGTTTGATTGAAGTGAACAGATTCAATTCATTGACTCCCCAAGTCACTTGAAAGAATCTGGGATCTAGCTTCAACTATATGACTGGGTATTTTGTTCCAAACTCCACAAACTCTTTGTGTAAAGATGCTTCCTTTTCTCAGTTTTAAATGTATTTCCTTATGAAATCCACTTGTTACCTGGTCCATTGAAGAAACCCTGTGAGTTGATTCTGTTAATGCCATTGAGGTTTTGAATATTTCTGATGGAAAGAATGGCTTTATATATAACTGGTTAAATTTCCTATAGTTTATAGAATGTAGTCATTTCGTTAAGGTTCCCACAATCTATGTTTACCCAACGCAGACAAGCAGTTAATTCCACACACCTAAACCCCTTTGTGCAAATTCATGGTTTCCACCCTCAGCACGGAGCACCTTTAGAAAAGTATTTGAGTTTTATTTCCATAGATATAGAGCTGCAAGATTTCCAGAATTAGCTGGCGAGTGAAGGTTATAAACTTGTGTTTTTCTCAAAACATGAATTATGAATTTTAGACTATTTCAGAATAAAGTCAAAATCATTGAATTCATCACTCACATGTCCTCTAACATGGTCTACACAGGAAGAATGCAATTTGACTCCAACTGAATGCCTCTTGTCAGTAAACATAAGCAACTATTATAACACTATATAGTAATTAAAAAAATAATATTTTTTGATACTCTTTGTTAAACACCGAGAGTGTTTTTATAAACAAAATTAAACATTATTTCCAGAAACTGAAATGTTTTTGTGAGGATGATTATATATATTTGTTATGTTGTATTATGAGGGAAACCGGTTTTGTAAGCAGCAGTGCTTTGGATTAATATTAATTGTATTTAATGGAATAAAGTCCACAGAATAGTTATATAGTATTAGTGTCTGTAAAAATACTAATAATTAACTCACTCAACTCTGTACCTTACAATGTTCAGAATGGTTTTATCAGCTATATGGCCTCCTGATGCATGCATTGCATTTAAGGGGTCATTTAACACAGCTCTTATACATGTCTAACTGCAGAAATGCTGTTTTCAAGGCAGTGTTGTGCCTTGTTGACTGTAGGTAGGATATTGGAATAGTTGTGCTTAGAATTCTCATTAAAACTAATTAGAAAATATTACATCTATTTGTATATTATAATCATTTATCTACCAAAATCTCTAAGTAACTTGTAACAGAGTACACTGTCTGTTCTTTTGAAACAAACATTGTAAAAACAGATCTATTTCAGAAAGCATGGCATGATCATTTTTGGTCTTCCATCCTGGTTTAGTATGGATATTTAACTATGTTATAATGTCATTTTAAGTCCAGGTCTTCCCCTCTTTCCCCTTAACAAAGACATCCACTTGGGTGGTCCTGGGCTCTAACTCTGTCTTCCAAGCTACAAAACCCCCAGATCTCAGCAGGCATTTTCTTTGGGGTCCTGAACCCCTGGGCCCTATATCAATTAACTGGCTCACCCCACAGAGACAAAGTACTGTTCTGTGAGCGAGCATGTCAGTCAGACAGAGTGCTGAGGAATCTGCTAGTGTCAGACACAGCGAGAGTTTGTTATTTCTTCTCCATGTTCCCAGCTGATTGCTGTGTTTGGCCCCATTCTCTGTGGGAACCTGGATATGGCAGTGTTACATTACAGTACAGCAATGGCTGACCTGGTGATCAGTACGCCCAGGATCAATGCCAGCATGTTTCCAATGCTTCACTGCCAACTTCACCCTTTTCCAACGACAGCTAATGGACATTTAAATTAGACATTAATTGTCCCAATGATTTGGCAGACATCTGCATTATTTTGATTTAATGCAAACATGAACAAGCTACAACATATAGAACATGCACGGACATAATTCGTGAACCACTCCCTCAACACAATCAAACATCTTAAGACATTTTAAGACACAAATACACAGTTGTGTCTGTCTTATGAGGTGTTATGAGCTACATAAGTACATACTGTATAGAACAATACTGCTCCTGAGTGTGTAACAGTACATGTTGTATCACTTTTGCTCAGACAAACATTATCCATTACATTGTTACTGTAGGAATTCATTGTGGAAATCCTTACCAGTTTACAAGCTGAGAAAAAAAAAAACTTAGATGAGCCACTTTAAATTAACATCTTGTTTACATAGATTAACTCAGATCTGAGCTGTAAGAAAACCTATAGACCCCACCCCTCATTGCACATGACCATGTGTAATTTTGTACACTTGCTTAAAATGTCTTCACTTTGAGATTATGCGAGTACTGAAAAATTATGGTTATATTCATAAACCTTCTTCATGAAATCCTATGGTTTTTAACAGATTGAATGTGTTCTATATTAGATAGCGAGGGATTGGTGGCAGAAAGATTTGACATATTCATCAGATTTTGACCTGTGCTGGCTATTCAATTGTATGAGTTATGCTGGCTGTCTGATGCTAATGAAGTCATTTTCTTAATTAGCTGGTCATCCCATATGATGAGAGTTTATTTCTTCAGGAAAAAAAAAGAACAGGAAGAGTTGTGTAACTTCTATTCCAGAAAGCCAAATTAATGGGTGTTCAATTTTCAAAACTGGGTAAAGGCACTCATTTACAACAGCATCAGTCATATCAGAGTAATGCCAATACTGAAACTGTTAATAACTCAGACAAAGCCCTCAAGGTACTATTTGAGACCCATGGCCATTTATAAGACAAAAGCATTTCTCTTGACCTGTCAGCTATGCCATAATTTTATGGTTGTTGTGAGTCATTTGGTGCAGGTGTGTTTATTCAGCAAACTGCTACTTTTAACCCAGAGGATTTTTACTCTTGGTGTCACAATATGATGGACTTATTCAGGATGCACTCATTGCTAGTGGTTCACTAATCACTAGACAGCAGATGTTTTTAGTGAGATGATAAAATCTAATGTTACGTGTCACTTTTTCTCTCCTCAGAACGCAACACCTAATTAAGTTCCTGACATTCCATTCTGTAACATCTCTTTGCACGATAAATGATATACTGCCAATTACTTCGTAAAGAACTCAGTATTGCAAAATGATTTTTTGGGGGAAAAAATTCGTTTTATGCATCGTGCAGATGTTGGTTGTTGTAAATGTTTATCCATTTCACGTTTGAATATAATGGCTTTCACAAATTAGTGAATAAGATGGATGTTGATACATCAACACCTAAGGAAAAAGATTATGATAATCAATCGTCCATAAAAAATAAAGTTATTTGAAGCTACGTTTTATGCATCTTCTGTTCTTATTTTAAAAAATAGTTTTTAAACTAGTATATTTAGATGTACATTTTGAATTAACACAGAACAAGTAAATTAATCAGAATCCCATGAATAAGGATAGCAAAAACAAAGGGCAAAGAACACTAGATACAGTACGTTTTCCTACGTAAAAATAAAATATAATCGATGGAAATAATAACATCAACAGGACATCGTACAAATGAATGACTGTATTTCATCAAACAGCCATGGCCATTACGTAGTAAAACCATATAACAGCACGTTATGCCTGGAGATCTCTAAAGCACACGTGTGAAAACAGGAGGGTACTTACGTTACGCTGGGTCTGTCATTAGACTTCGTCTAAACACCTTAGGTCAGTATTGGGATCTGTAACTCTTTTTTATCACAGCCGTTATGTCAAAACGTGTTTGCGCGAGCAGCTTTATGGTACCTTCAATCAATCCTTCAGGCGTTATCCCAGTATACAAAGAACAAACCAAACATGGCGTGTTTGGTTTTGTGACATACAACTAGTTACTACTGTTGCCATAAATGCTCCCAGAAATAAACACTTGGTCGAGGTCACATCTAATTAAATCGCTAACAAAAAATAAAATTATTTCTGTCGTCTTACTACCAGCGCTATATATCTTTAATTTGTGATTGTAATAATAATAATAAAAATAATAATAATTGCTTACACTTATATAGCGCTTTTCTGGACACTCCACTCAAAGCGCTTTACAGGTAATGGGGACTCCCCTCCACCACCACCAATGTGCTGCATCCACCTGGATGATGCGATGGCAGCCATAGTGCGCCAGAACGCCCTCCACACATCAGCTATTAGTGGGGAGGATGAAGCCTAATGAAGCCAATTTATAGATGGGGATTATTATTAGGAGGCCATGATTGTTAAGGGCTAATGGCCAGGACGCCGGGGTTGTTGACTCATCACATTCCAAGTCCATCAGCATTTTCGCTACCCGTCGTTTCACATTATCAGGTTATTTACATTTTACACGCTTTTAACCTGTGGAGAGAACTTTGTATCATACTTTTATTCTGTAAACTGACATCTGTTTAAAACGAATCTGTTTAATTCACGAAAAAGCAAAAGACAATTTCCAGAATACTATCTACAACGAAACGGACAACGTATTATAAAAATGAATTAACACGAAACTATTTCGTTCTAGTCGATTGAACAATGAAACAACAACAAACGTATAGAAGATCAGTTTTTGAATCTGCTCTTTTCTTTGCGTAACAAAATACATGCAAGTATAAGCATACGTACTCTATAGTTAACAATAGTTATTTGCTGGGTATGTGTAAAGTATAGTTTGAAAGTATAGTTTGAAACGGCAGCTAAACGTTGTATTGAATTCATACTGCCATGCACGGCACAAGGGGCCTAAAACATCGTGTACCGTTCTTACCACGCGTAGAATATTTGGTAACAACTTAATGGCAAGCCTGTTATAAATATATTCATATACTGTATATATTTCTGGACTGGAATTGGATGTTAGCCTCACATCACGTACGACTTAATACAATTTAATAAGTTAGATTTTAAATTGATAAACAGTTACAATGTTCTCCTTGTTTCAATAATACAATAATACAAATATGCAGTCGTATTTTGTTCTCCTCGGTGTATTTTTTTTTCGGAAAGCGAAAGACGGGCTTACTGCAGTCATACTTTGTGCCATAATGTCTTCTGCATTAACAGCTGTGTTTCAGTGTGATGAGGTGGAACACTGCACACATACCACATTGGGATTAATTCGAATTTTTCACAAGTCATACACTTTCACACTTTTTCCATGAAGGTGTGTTTGATCCTGTTTCTACTGGGTGATGAGGTACATACGTAAAATTCTGACTTTAAAAAAAGTATATTTCCCCATTAAAGTAAATTAAATTAACACATTATTGGAATTGCTCTTAAAACGTTTTACACTGTGCAGGTATTAGAATCAGAAATGCAAACAAATTCATTCTAACAGATCTGAAGTGGCATGCATTAATAACTTGTGATTTGAAATTCTTGAATCTCCAGGCACCTATTATACCCCACATGTGCTGAACTGGTCTGTTAAAGGTTAATGCAGCTTTGAAATTGCATACCATCCATAAATAATACCAAATTCAGTCCTAGGATTAACTATAGTGGTTGAAGGGAAACTGTCAGGATATCATTTAAAGCCATCCAGAGTCCCATATTACAATGATGTGACATGGGACTGAGCAGGCATCATTGCAGTTCATTAAGAAAAGACTTTCAACTTAGAATAAGTAAAGTGTACATTTGGATATCCACTTTAAAAAATGCATGTTTACATTATATTGTAGCAACCTTAGGCCTAGGCCAGGACTCCTGGGACACTACGAACATAGGTCTGGGGGATCTGTGATCTGTACAAGATGGCACACTGGGAGCTTTTATGCAGAATGACTCTTACTAATAACAGGAGTATGGCATCTGCCTTTATTAAGAAGATACCTTCACTACATCTTTTGCTGCCTCCCCGTGGAGGGTCTATAAGGAGGGGGTTGTCTCCTGCATGTCTCTTTGTAGGAGTAAGAGTCTAGAGGGCTGTCCTGTGTCACTGTACACATCTGTTAGGTGCCCTGTGTTATTGAGGACTCTTTGCTCTCTTATTCCATCCACACTGTATCGAAGGCAAGGAACACACCACTAGAATGCATTGCCCATAAAATCCTGAATATCCATAGAAACTAATTGTTTCATTTGAATGTTAAAAAAAAAAGTAAGTGCACTTTATTATCTTTATTATATCTGTATTTGTCTATCAAGCACAGGCTTTCCCCTTGTGCAGTGATCAATTACAGCACGATGCAGGAGAACATAAGCTTGCTCTGACACAGACGATATGATGTTCCCTGGGTGGTTGTTCAGCATTACTGGCCTAGCTCATTCCATATGTGTCAAACACATTAAGAGGTATGCACTCAATCTAAACATCAGTGTTAAGCGTAATATGTAAATAATTTGAGGAATACAATCATACATGTTTTTGGCAAAGGGAAACAAGTGGCAATGAATTTCAAGGTGTGTGGAGAAATTGTGTTTGAGACTAAAAGTGTTGTTTTCTTGCTTGATGCAGAGAGCTCTCTTTTCTTCATTTAAACGTGTCTCAAAAGGGCTTTGTTAATATCTGATCTTTTAAGGGTCTGATTAACATATTGATCCATGGAATTATGGGATAAATACTGAACTAGAACTGATCGGTTGATTCAGAATCTGCAGTGAAACATTAAACAGAGGAAACAAGTGGAAACTAAGGGCCAGTGCATTTAAAACTGAGAACAGGAGGCACCTCTTTATACAAAGGATCATGGGACATCAGAACAAATTTGCCCATTATTGGTGGTGCTATGAACCCATCCAAGAAACGACTTGGAACAATAAGGTACTAGCAAATAAGCTATATAGGCCAAATGGCCTTGTCCTTTGTTAATATACAGTATCTTATGTTCTTGTGATTTGGATTATTTAGTTATGGGTGAATTAGATGGAACTACTCTTGCAGTTAGAATGTAGAAATAAGTCCCCAATCACCTAATTCACTGTACCCCAATATATCACAATGTTATGTGTGCCACACAAGAAAGGAACAGACTGCAAGTTTACCACAGCGATGTGAAGCAATGAAACACCTGATGTGTAGCATTCATGAGTACTTCTCTGACGTATTTCACAAAGGAACAGATCGGTAAATCGTCATGTGGCCCATATCTAAAGAGTTTCTGAAAATGGCATGTGGAAATGATTTTGAAACATTACTTACAAAACCAGCCCAAGCTGTTTATCACACTTCAACTGGAATTGTCAAAGACAGCTGTAAAAAGTAAAACATTCCTGCTGTCTCCTTCTCCACATTTTTAGTACTTTAGGTCCATCTGAAAGAGTAAACTTCCAATTATATTGATGTATCAATACAAAACTCTTCATACTTTCATACCAGTTTAAGCAGAGTAATACAAAGCAATATTATTATTTTTTAATTCTAATTTCTCATATGATTCAGATCTAGCCTAGACTTAAGTCTTGACTCACTGTGCTGAATTAAACAAGTCTTAAACTACAGTATCTCTATACACCAGTTTGCATAACATGGTACTTGTCTCTGTAATAAGGTAAAAAGAGACAAAAAATACTAAGCAGAAAATCAGATTTCAGGGAATCACAAATACAGAATCAAGCAGCACAAGGCTGGTGGTGGAGATATCTAATGGCTACTAAAGTGTACACAATATTTCACAGATAAAGAGAAAATCTTTTGCCAGCAATCCCTAGAATGTGTAAACCAAATAATCAATTTAAAACTTTAAAAAAGCATTAATGAGTATAAAATACACACAACCTCTGCAAATTTGCATATATCTGTAATTTCCCTCATGGGATCAATAAAGTATCTATATAGTAGAAGGTTTGTGACTCTCTTTTGTTAATATTGTAGTCTAAAAAACTTTAAAATTACATCTATACACAAATACAGTAAAAGTTAAACACATTGAAGTAATGGTAAAATACTGACTTATTTAAGGTGCCTGTATATAATATAACATGGTAGGAAATTTATCTCATGGAAACATAGAAAAAGCTCATATAGATTTCACAGTGTGAAAAAGAAAATGTAGGAATTAAAACTAGTTATACAGATATATTTATGTAGCGTTGGTTACAAAAAAGGAACTGCAAAATATTTTTTTCTCATAAAACAGGTTAATTAGACTTTATAAAAAAATCTTTTTTTGGGATTCTTCTCTCTTTACTGATAATTATTTAATGATTGTTACAATGCAGACATAAAATATTTTTATTTCATTATTCTTTACCAAATCTTTACAATCGTGGCATGTTGAACAACCCAGTGCCCTTTTTGAAGAGCGAAGATTACATTAATTAAAATTGCACAACATCTGTGAAGACCAAAGATATGGTAGAATTTTACAGTTCATTAAATCAACAACGCAAAATGTCAACATCTTCAGTTCCAAACCTGTCTGGTGTACTAAATCCTTCTTTTACATCTAGAGGAATATTGCAAATTACTGTAAGAAAAAACACACACACATTTCACTCTAATTAAATATGGTGGCCTATTGAGATAAATAAAATGCCAAATAAAGGGCATTTAAAAGAGTCTCATCTAGAACACCAGCAATTGAGTTGTCTGTATGTCTGTTAATTACACCCCACAAATATGAATTAATGAAATCTGTCAAAACATAAGCATCATTTGGCAAAGTTAAAGGAATGATTATTTCACCAGGAAACGTCTTTCAATCTCAAATATTTACCACCAAAACCATTAAAAAATAAAACAAAAAATGTGTTTTATAATGGAATTGTAATGTTTTTCTT